CCCCGCCCCGCCATGGCGAAACTGAATTGAATGGCTCGCCCGCCATGCCCCCGTCGACTCCGAATACGGCAGGCAGCAGCAGAGAGAAGGGGGCCCGCCCCTGCTGCTAGGCGCGCCTTTCTCGGCTGGGAGTGGATGATTACTGCATTTGTCTCTCCCGGGGCACACGTGCAAGGCCCAGCCCGAGAGCCCGCCCGGCCCACCCCGTCCCATCCCGTCCGGAGGGGAGGAGGCTCCTCGTGGGCTCGTGTTCGGAACGCGCTCCGACCTGATAAATAATTTTACGGCACGCTCCCGCTGCTGATCTGCGTGCGAGCGAATAGTAAAACGCCGAGGTCGAATAAGGGCGGCTGAGCAGGGGAGACAACAAACAACAACAACAACAAAAAGAGGGGGAAAAAAGGGGGGACTCACGCAGTGGTGGAATGCCGCGTGTAGCAGGTGTCCTTGGTGAGGGGGGTGACGCTGGCGTCGAGGGCGCTCCTCCGCCGTCGGCGATGCACGCTGCAGGCAGTCAGCACGAACAGGACCACGTTCATCATGACGAGGAACGTCACGGGCGCGTAGAAGTACGGCAGGGCGGCTCGATCAGCTGGAATAAGGCAAAGTAGACAGAGATAGAGGGAGATGTATATAGAGAGGCTTACAGAGTGATGGGAGGGGAGGTGGGGGAGGGGGAAGGTCACGAACGTGTCAGGCCCAGCGCCGGTCGCGTACAATCAAACCCTGTCATGCGCGGCCCAACTGGCACGTGAGATCGCCAGGGCTACAACACTGGGGACAAAAAAAAAACACACAACAACAACAACAAAAACAAAACAAGCTGCGATCTATGATTATGTCACGCACTCACTTTGGAACCAACAGAAGTCGACCCCGAAGCGCGGCTTGACGTAGGACGACGGGATGGTGGGCGTGAGGTCCATGACGAGGGTGACGCCAAGCAGCACGCAGGGCAGCGACCAGGCGTACATGGAGTAGAGCACGAAGCGGCGCCGCTCCGTGCGCCGGCACCAGCGCTGCGCCGGCCTGGGGGCGGGCAGACGGGGGGTCATGACCATGACGGCGGCCGGCATGTCCAAGCTATAGCCGGGGCTGGGAGCCGGCGAGACTCACCTCAGCGCCATGTTGTACCACGTGTTGATGCACATGACGTTCAGCCAGAGGAAGCAGGCGACGAACGAGAACTGGACGATGCAGGCTGTGGCGAACGGACACGGTTGTTACGACCAACTCGTTGCTATCTCGCTTGTGTAAGTAGTAGTAGTACTTCGCGCGGACAAGACAACTTACCGACGCCGAAGCAGAAGCCGCCGTTGAGGGAAGAGCCCCACAGCTGGACGAAGGCCAGGGTGAGGTAGGCCACGCACAAGCACACCACCTGGCACATGAGCGCCTTGCCGTGCACGTCGCGCAGGGCCGGCGTCATGGCGTACAGGATGAAGGTCGTCACTAGAAAGGGCACGGATAGCAGCAAGCCTAAACGGAGACATAACCAAAAGAGGATTTTCTTGTTTATTTGTGTTACGTCTTCTAGGACGACAACTACTTCCCGACCCGATGAACTAGGGAATCAGTTAAGCCGTCTGGTGGATGAGAATAACAGTTTTCAATTTTGAATGGACGATGTGAAGTGGTGTGTGAAAGAGAGGGCGAGATAGTAGGGATGGAGAGGAAACGGACACAAGCGTGAGGTCATGAGCAGGACGTGGGTTGGGCGGCGCAAGGGCGGGGCGGAAGGTGGAAGTGAGGGAGCGATGAGCAGCGCGCTATCTGTTGTGCCGACTCTCATGTCCGGTCCGGTCGGCGCCAAAGTCCCTGCTCCGCCCCGCACTCTGCGCTCTGATTACGCGACATTCCGCGAGAGAGTGTGACTGGCCCGGCCCCGCCGCGGGCCCCGCCGTGGGCCCCGCCCCGCCGTGGCCGCGGCCGCGGACAGCTGACGCAACGAGTCTTTATCGCACCGCTATCGGACTCACCAATGGGGTACAGGATGAACTGGAGCCCGCTGCGTCTCGGGCCCTCGGGCGGCGGGAAGCAGATGAGCGGCAGGATCATGACGTCGCCGTTGTCCGTGTCCGGGAACACGTCCATGCAGAACTCGTCCGTGCCGAGGGGGTGGTCGTAGAGGAAGGGCACGATGAGCGAGCCGTTGGCCAACAGGTAGAACTCGTCGCGGCTGTCCACGTGCGGCTCGAGGCGGAAGCGGCCGTGGCGGCAGGGGTTGCCGACGAGCATGTCGTAGCCCTCGCCCTCCGTGATGACGGTCTCCTCCGGGTATGCGTCCGCCTCGTCCTCATCGTCGTAGTACATGAGCGAGCCGTCGAGGGCGGCCTCCGACAGCTCCTCCTCGTACTCGACGAAGGGCGGTATGAACTCGAGTGGGCTCTCCACGCACGTCTTCTTCTCGCTGAGCACGCGCTGGCCCGGCGGACAGCACTTGGGCACGACGGGTCGGAAGGGCGGCTCGGTGGTCACGTTCGTGGTGCCGTTCCCGTCGGCGGTGACAACCGCGACCGTGGTGGAGGCCGAGGTAGACGTAGTGGAGGTGGGGAGCGTCGTGGGGGCGATGGTCGTGGTCGTGGTAGTCGTTGTTGTGGTAGTCGTGGTAGTCGTGGTTGTCGATGTCGACGTGGAAGTAGGGGTTGTGGCAGCAGTTGTCGGGGCGGTGGAGGGCTTGAGGTCTTCGGGTTCGTCGTACCCGACGTCGATGTCCTCGTCGTCAGTGGTGGGTGGTGGCGGCCTCTTTGGCGGGTTGAACCATTCGACGTCCAGCTTTGGGGAGCGCGTGGTCGCCTCCACCTCCTCAATCTCCTCGATGTCCTCCGCGCCCAGGCCCGGCACCAGGGACGCGCCCACCCTGGGTCCAGCTTTGCCGCGACTCTCAGACACCACGGGCGGCGGCGCCTTCTTGACCTCCACCTGAGGGGGGCCGCCCACAGGTGGTTTCACTGCTGCCCCGGGGGCGGCTTTCGACCCAGCGTCCACCACCACCACCACAGGCTTGTTTCCGCTGGATGGTGACGGCTTTGTAGGGGGCAGCGCGGGGGTCACGGGTGTGGAGGCCGCAGGGGCCGCGGGGGCGGGCGTCGCATCGAGCCCCTTTCCGCGCGGCGGTGGCCGATCCTTTTTAGAATCCGGTCTCCTCCCAGGGTCCTTACGGTCCTTGGCGTCCTTGGCGTCCTTGGGCGCAACTGGAGTGGCGGCAGCGATGGTCGCCGTGGGTGCAGGTGCCACCGTAGGTGCAGGCGCCGCAGGACCGGCGGGGGGCGGCGGGGCTGGTTCTACAGAAGCGGGGCGCCCGACAAGGGTCGGCACCGGCGACGTGTCATTGCGCAAGTCAACAGCCACGGCCGCGGTCACCAACACCGTCACCAGCGCCACGGCGAAGAGCCACTCGCCGCGACCGAGCGCCATCTCCGCAAACCACACGGTCCTGGGCTTCCCTCGGAGGCGCGACGCTTCGCACGGCACGATGTGCGTCGTGGAGATGGACGAGATGGGCGAGCACGCGCCGAGCCCACGCGAGTCACTGGGCCCCGCTCCGCCGCGGCTCGGAACGCTCGGCACCGGCCGACGCCAAACTGAGCCAGCGATAAGCGGGCTGATAACGCAACGTCACCTGGTCACCAGCCGCGCAATGCGCTGCAACGTCTCGGTGCGTCTGCAACACGCCCAGCCCCCCAGCCCAACCCAGATGTCAGTGTGACGGTGTCCCCTTGTTATTGCGTAAAAATGTAGTGAGTCCAGCCAGGCAGTCTCAAAATGGAGCAAGTGACTGTTCTCTCCAGTTACACAGAAGAATACGTCGGCTGTGAACACATTGGGAAATAAAGGTGTTTTAAACGCAAAAATACATGTCTTTAACATTTGATGATAGTATTTATTGAATCCCATAAAACCAAAGAGTCAAGTGAGGATTGCACAATTAACTGTTTACACATCTGATATTTGGTGTGAACATGAAAGTTTTAGAGAACCAGTTACAGAAAACTACCAGTCAATATTATGAAAAATTTAACAACTTAACAATAAAGAGGAAAACTAGCGTGCAGCAGATATTTGGGTAGACAACATTGTATGTGACTAGTTTTAAAAGATAAAATATTATTAAATTCTTAACCAGGAACAATAACTATTTTACTAGATACCATAGTAGAT